AAAATGGCTAGTAAAAAGTTACACTTTTCTCAGTAAAGAGAAGACATCCGTCCTCCTAGGACACAAAAAATTGAGTCATGCTGGGAGTGGGAGGGGTTATACAAGGCTGGTCACTGTTTTTTTTTTTGTCAGTGTCCAAATCCTTTAAGAGGGTAGTGTAACCACATTGTCTCTGATTCCTGTGTCCCTCAATGTATGGAATTGAAATAGTGCTTACATCCTTTTGGTGTATTTAGTATGGAATGGGCTGCCTTAAGGCAATGCATGTGAATGTGCGGCACAGCGCATGTTAACACACTGTAACAGGGTGACTCCAGTCTGAGTCAATTTTGGCATCTGGAATATTCAATAAGTAGGCCACATATACAGGGCTATTCACAAAGGGTGAAGAGTTTGGAGAAGGCAGGAGAAGTGAACAATCTAGGACAACATAGCTGAACTGGAAAGATAATTTTTCCAAATCAGCTAGTTTGGCCTAGATTGTTCGCTTCTCCTGCCTTCTCCAAACTCTTCACCCTTTTGTGAATAACCCTGTTAGTTTACTTTTACTAGCTGAATTACAAATTCCACAAGCCTTACTCAAGGTGCCGGTGGTAAGGGAAAGGAAGAGAGAAAAATAGTTAAAAAAAGAGACCTAAAGGTAGTACATAACATAATAGAATACATTGCAGCTCGTGCCCACACTGGGTAATGCTGCTTTGTGTATGACTGCTTTTCATTATATAAATATATGTGCCTGAAGCATGGGTGTTAAAAGACAGAGATTACAGTAATCACCTTTTCGCCTTACATAACCCTTACATAATACTGTCAATTAGCCTACTAACCTACCAGGGAAAATGAAACTGTGTCATCTCATAACAGACAAGTACATTGAGTTAGCGTACCATGAAGAAATATGCTATGGTCAAATAGGTCAACAAAATCATAGCACAATACCTGTGTGTGAAGCAGCAGATGGAAAGGGAGATTCAGTCTCCTGAATTACTAGTTACTAAAAAAAAACGTACTTATTAGTGATTAGTTACAGGGGTGACATTTTAGTTCTAGTTCAATGAACTGGAGGCAATGTACCCTCAATTATAGTGAAGTCAGTGCTTTAGAAATATATGTAAGTCAGGAAGCAGAGATTGACAGCTTCCATTTGAGGCATCTCCCACAGCTGTTTTGGTTCATGGCAGATTCAGTTTAAACAAAAAAAAAAAAGGAAGAGGACTTGTAGACATGGCCTCCAGCATGTAAAAGGTCTTTGTATACAAAGCTTTAACAAAGCATTTGCAAAACTTTTAACAAACGTTTCTTGAAGTCTTAAAAGTACCCTTCAAGTCCATTTTGTGACTATTTAACACAAATGTTAATGGGAGTGCTGACACTTTAAGGCTGTGCTTACACAGGCGTTCAGGAGGTGATAATGCCGCCTCCTGTATGTGTTTTTGGAAAACAAAATCCCAATGGTTTTTTATTGCAATTGGGTACATGATTGTAGCATGGTCCTATTCATTGCAATGGTCACATTTGACAAGCGGCACCACTGGCAAAACATGACATGCTGCATATTTTTTGGGACAACGGGATGCAAAGCAGCGCAGCTATGTCATTGTATAAGGCACTGTTTGGCCACTTTGCTGACACTGGAGCAGGTGACTGGGGTGCGGTAAAACTCCCTTGCTGTCCGTGTAAACCAGGCTTAAAGATGGGGATATCCTAAAACATTTAATGTAAAAATGGCTTTATGTAGCTTTAGGCCCCTTTCACACAGTCTGATACGGAGAGGATCCATGCACAGATCCTCCCCTGATCACAGGAGTATAGATCGGATGTCACTGCTGTGACATCTGGGTCCGTACAGTTTTTTCCTCCATCTTGGGATAGTGTAAAAAACTGAAACTGCTGGACTCCATGTGTATCTATAGGGAATCTGATGTAAACGGATGTAGTACAGGCATGGAAACATGTTCTGGAGATGGACACCAAAGGACTCCTGTGTGAGTTTGAGAGCAATTTGTGGACCCTTCACTTAACTGTGGTCCAAGAACAAACATTTATTCATGATGATCCATGCACCCTTAAGACCATGCCTGAAATCCTACCACGACTGTTCATCAACCCCCTCACCATCCTCCTCTCCCTACCGCAGCTGACCCCATACTTGTCCCCCGCACCACTGCTCTTGCCACAACTGCACTGCAGTGATGCGCTCTTCCATATACAACCCGTTCAATAAACAAACACGCTTTTGCTAGCGATATAAAAATGGAAATAGTCAGTGAAGACTTCATTCACTTCCTGCCCAATTAATGTCAGGAGGAAACATGGATAAGCATTCTTTAAGTCTCAGGCAGGATGTAAAGAAGGTATGTAGTGTACTGCCTAACACCACACAGATATCACAAACCAAGCGCAAGGTTTGGCCTTAAAGAAGAATGCATCCTGCTTCTCATCTTCCCTAGAATTGAGTAGTGTCCCAGTTTATGTGACAGCACTAGGGGTCCCCCATCAGTGCAGCCCAAATCTGGTATAACTGGGCATACCCTTGTGCAAGTGTACTTGAGAGCAATACAATTTGTGCAGACTGTGGCCATTTGTTCATGAATGGCATAGGTCATGTGGCCTGTGTTGTTTTACCAGTGTCAGCAGATCTCTTGCTTGCCATACTGCCGACAATCTTGTAAAGTCTTCAGTAAGCTCCCAAGTCGTGTAAACCTCAAGTACTTCCTGTATATCTCTACTTGAAAAAGCTGGAACACAGTCTCGTATCCTTCACAAAACTTTTCTTTACAAGATCAATACATCAGGGCATTCAACCAGTTATTGCAAATGTGCTAACTCACTTCAGCCAAGGTGGCCCCGTTCATAGCTATCATGAGCTATGATTGAGGTCACTCTGTCTGAAACGCATTAGTACGTTTGTAATAACTGGTTTTATGCCTGTATGTCTTGATGTAATAGAAAATATTTTTGTGAAAGATTCAGGACTGTATGCAGCCTCTTTCAAGTTGATTTATACAGAGGGCTGACAGAAGCCATGGTTGAGCACCAGCATTCTATATAGTGACATTGGACAGAGAAGGTAGCACACTTTCAAGTCTTTTTTCTTACTTTCTGTATATAGTATAACTCACACTGACATAACACGCCTACAACTAGCAAATAAAGGGTAGCAATAGACAGCTTGCACAGAGTATTCTGCATATGCACAAACATTTTTTTGCAAAAGGATGAGTGGAAGACAGGAAACCACTTTATTAAACACGTTGTAAGTTGTAACCACTTTTTCAGAACATCTGTTGGTTTAATCATAATTTACCTAAGTGGTAAGAATAGCCCTGCAAGGTCACATTCATTTAGCTTTGTAAATGACTTGTAAAAAATAACAAAATAATAGCCATTTTTACTCAGTGCACTGAAATTAAATTTTGAAAATGAACTGGACAATTTAAAAAAATGTCAGGCCAAAACCAAAATCGAAAATTATTTTTTTCTAACCTTATAATTTTTTTTTTTTTCAAAACTTTTTTTTTTAATGAATATTTCTATTTTTTTTACTTTACTGTCGGGGGCTCTAGGGAAATAAAAATTAAAAAAAAATTAAAATAAAAAATAAACATTTCCCTTTTAAAATATAAAAAGAGATTGAGTCCTTGTGGAGATATTATGTTTACTATATCCACAATCATGAATGAACAGGAAGTGATGTAGGTCACTTCCCATTCATTCATAATTGGGGACACAGTAAACATACTCTGTGCTCAATTATTTACAAGCAGTCAGTGATCACTGATCATTGACTGCTTGTACCTGCTCTCCATCCTGACTCGCTGTCATAGGATGCAGAGCGGGCGGTGTGGGAGCAGAGCTCGGTCTATTTTGACAGCTGACTCCTCCCCCGCACCATCGGATCAGCCTCCTGTGACAGTTGTCATCCCCCCACACCGCTCTTTATCCTGATTTGTCACAGGAGGCCGAGCGGAGCGGTGGGGGAGGAGAGCCCGGTTGCTCACTCCACATTCCTTCCCGCACCTCTCAGCCTCCTGTGACAGTTTCCCTCCTTCCTCCTGGAGGCTGTGCTGTGTCAGAGCGGACACAGAGCAGCGCCCAGCGGGGGTAGATAAACTAGACATGCACCGCAATTTCAGCCGAAAGATGGCTTTTTGCCAAAAGCGCAATTTTGGCCAATATGTTTCGGCGGCCGAAATTTCTGTGCATGCCTAATTTTTACCTATATAATAAATAACACAAAAAAATGATAACCACACTGAACCCTGATTTACTAGAGGAGTTCAAAAGCATAACACAATAATTTGCGTGAACACTCACTTCAATTATCCAGTCATGTGAAAAGCAGATTCCTGTTTACCTATTTTACCTGCACACAGCTGGGTATATAAAGTGAATAGGAATCTTCTTTTTTACATGATTGGTTGATTGAAGTTTATAGTCACACAATTTGTTGTGTGGAGATACTCAACTCCTTAAACAAATCAGCTCTATTATGTCCGGCACTTTATCCATTTATGTTAATAACACATAATTAGGGAGATCATTGGCAGAAGGCAGTCCATACGATCAAGTAAAAAGTGCTTCATCTCTCTGTATTATTTGCTGTTTTGCTTGATGCCAATGATGTCTTTGCTTCAAATGTCCATACAGAGCTTTTGTGCACAGAGCCCGCCAAGAAAGTATTTTCACGTGGCTTGTGGGAATTGGGATTTAAACCACAAACATCTTCAAACCCAAGCTTCCAAACACACAAAAAAGCAAACTTTTGACATCACTTTTATAGCTTAGTTTAGTTTAGGTTTTTTTTTTTATTTTATATGTTTATTTTTAAGAAAGAGCATTTAAGTCCATAAAACCTTTCATTTGACTATATGTGCCTAGCCAACATCAGTAGCACTATTTGTAAATTAAAACTATAACAGTATGGGCTGAAATCATATTACACTAGCTCAAAGTATATTGCTGAAGCTCTGTGACAGGATCACATGAGGATCTCTTACCTAGCATGCGCACACATCTGGCATTCTGGTCTGGATTATCAAATGAGATTTCTCCACACCTCTGAAAGGACAAACATGGTAAAGGTTGTTATGTTCATCAGAGAATGTTAAATGTGAGCTATAAGAATAAGGCTAAAAAATACTATAATCATAAGTGAGAATTACCCAAAGCAACCAATCAGATTTCAGATCCAAGGGCACATGCCCTGGGCGCCACTTGAAAGGGGGGCGTAGTTCCATGAGTCAGCGAAAGTTCACCGCCTCATGGAAACAGTTGACTTTTTTTCCCTCCCCACCCCTCTCTCATACACATCTCCCCACTCGGCTCTTAGCAACCTGGGACGCTGTGGCCAGCATCCCACCCAGCTCCTGGCAACCAGTGACATCGCTGCTTGGAAGGAGCTGGGCAGAAAGCCGGCCAGAGCATCCATGATTGCTAAGAGCAGAGCAGGGAGATGTGTATTGCCGTTACACATCTACCAGCCTGGTGGTGGGGAGATGTGTATGCAGGCAGAACGCTCTGGCTATGCTAGGAGCCAGACGGGGAGATGTGTATGGCTTTTACACATGTCCCTATCCAGCTCTAATTAACCTGGGATGCTCTGGCCCATGTCCCACCCAGCTGGGCAGGATGCCAGGGCCGCAATTTTTGTAGATATGCCTCTGTTTCAGATTACTGTAGTTAAAGGAGAATCATGTCCCTGTAGAGAGCCGTGACTGTCACTCACAGCTCCCTGCAGGGATTTCCTCTCCCTTCCCGCTCCGATCCTCCAGCGCTGACTGGCGGTACAGACGGGGGAGGGGGTGGGTACAGCTGGCTCTGCTTCTAGATAGGCAGAGCCAGCTGTCAATAACGCAGCTGGGTGGATCTCGACAGTAATGTCGGGATCTGTCCCGGCTGCGGCGTTCTCAGTATACTCGCGATATACTGAGCTTTGGGTCACAGGAGGACGCTAGTTTATGTCCTCCCGTAACCCTTGGGAGAACTATGGGGAAAAACACTTACCCCATAGTTCTCCTTTCAATCATCTAAGAAATGATTTCTGATTTGTCATTGTGGGTCACTGCTCTTTGCACTACTTTGCTAATACGTCGAAAGCAGTGCAAGAAAATGTCCAGGGCAGTAACCCACAGCCAGGAATGAGACATGATCTCAGCAAGTTAATGGTACTTTCCATACCAACAATGCATTTCACATTGTATTATGCAAATATTAACAGCAAAAACTACAAGGTATTATATTTAGGAGACAGTGAAAAGAACAAATAGCCAACTTCAGTTGAAATAATTCAATTTAATAATTAAACAGACCAGTATAAAATGGATTATGATTGCTTGTTATGATATTAACCTTTGCACTTGGGATTCTACTTCTTGCACTGTTTCATTGAATACACCCAAGAATCTATCCATGCATGCTACCTTCAAAAAACTGAAATTTGAGAATGCATATGATAGAAAACCATCTTAAATAAATTAGAGAGTCATAATCAATGACTCAAACACTAACAGGTTTATTCACAAAATGGTGAAGAGTTTGGAGAAGGCAGGAGAAGTGAACAATCTAGGACAACATAGCTGTACTGGAAAGTGAGCTGAATTGGAAGATTTTTTAAAATCAGCTATTTTGGCCTAGATTGTTCACTTCTCCTGCCTTCTCCAAACTCTTCATCCTTCTAGGAATAACTCTGAAAGTGGTCAAAGGGTATAGGTGGTGTACCCAAGGAGTTTCTGATTAAATGTACTGTCTTTGTGTCTCAGTGTAGATAATTATAATATCATGTATCTGAAAGATTAAACTATGCAGGCAACATACATTGGGGTAGGGGTAATATCTGGTGAATCAATCATTGTAAAAGAATTGGAGATATATGTAGAGCACAGACTTAAAAACAGCAGATAATGTCAGTTTGCAGTTTGTAAATCTTGCAAACAAACTTTCTTGGATTAAAATAATTATGGATTTGAGAGAAGACAATGTTCCCTTACACATAGCTTCATATAGCTTTAATACAAACATGTGTTGTTCAGTTTTGTTCATCGGTAACAAAAAATATTTAGTAGAATTGAATAGAATGAAGAAAATGAACTACATCAATAAGGGGCATGGAGGACCTAATTTATGAGGGAAGACTTACTGGCCTTTTGTATCTTGCAATGGAGGAAAAAACTGAATGCACACGGATATCACTAAGGTGACATCCGTTCAGTACTGCTCCGATCAGCAGGGAAATCTGTGCATGGATCCTCTGCTGATCGGAGTGGATGGGAGCTCCATGTGACAGGTGCCTTAATAAATCATATAAGCAGTCAAGCAGCTAGTATTTTCAGAAAAAGGTTAGCATACATATTCCCCTCAGTATAAGCTTGCTTTTAAGAAGAGCTCTAGAATGCAAGAATAAAGCTGCTCTACCTTCTCAGACCCAATACTCCATGGGGATCGCAATGCTCAGCGTGAATCTCTGCTGGGCCCAATCAACAAAATAAAGTGGAAAAGAGCTGGCACTCGTCGGAATCCCCTTAATAGCGTTTCTTTATTGAAAAGGCATAAAATCATAGCTATGATTAATGCCACTTGGGGGACTGAAACATGTTAGCACCCTTTGTAGCTGCTTTTATGCCTTTTCAATAAAGAAACACCATTAAGAGGATTCCTACGAGAGTCAGCTGTAGACAGAAAAAAACAACAATTCATGCCGGTATGTGTTCATTAAAAAATTATTTAAATAACTAAGTGTATATTTTCAAACAACTACAGACCACCTCTCCTTAACTACTTAATTATATAGTTTGTTGATTGACTGATAAACTAAACATCTTGTATTTCAATGCACCCCTTTTTCTAGTGCTATGTGACTTTATATGCCTGTTAGTCCCCTTTTCACTCAGGTCATCCTGTCAGTTTTTTAGGTGGACCTGATCAGAAGTCCAATGTAAGTCTATGGGCAGTCACATGCGTGCGATATGTGCATCCATTTACATCCATCTCCTTATAGACCAACATGGATCCAGTAAGTTCAGTATTTTCCTCCATGGCACGGAGGAAAACACAAGCAAAAAAATGTAATACCTTAAAGTGTCACTAAAACCAGGAGTTAAATCTTAAAAATGCATTCAAGTACCCTATTAACAATAAAGCAGGTTATTTGTGTATTATTCAACTGTAGATTTTCTCTGAATTCATTCTGACACTGTCCTTCCTTCTGGAGGGTGGCTACTTCTGTTCTCCATGGTTTCTGTGTGTGTTGTAAAGTAGACACCATTGCAGGCTCGCTTCTGTAATGGAGAACAATCTCACATTTAGTTTAATAATTTATATTGAGAATGTAGTCCATCACAGGAGTGAGCTTGGAGTGGTGGCTACTTTACAACACACACAATGGGAACAGAAGTAGCCACCCCCTAGAAGAAAGGACAGTGTCAGAGATGATTTGATGATCTTCAATCAAGTGATACACAAATAAGATATGTTTATGTTATGGTTAAGGTGACATAAAAAGCTACTCACATGTTAGCCAACATGCTGCGTTTCGGTTAAAGTTCGCTGTGCGAGTTTATGATATGCTAGCTCTGAAGAAGAGAATCTCTCCCAACACGCATCAGCTAGTTGGTCTTCACTGGAACCTGCTGTGTATCTTATTGTGCAATTCCTATGTTAACATGTGCGTAGCTTTTTATGTCATTTTATTTACTCCATTAAAATAAACGTTCTCATACGAGAAGAAGATCCTGTCTGTTTTACTTGTTTTGCATATCTTATGAGGATACTTCCCAGTGGCCTTAAGGACTGCAGCCTATCTTCCAATGATTGTCGATGAAGAATCTCTGAGCTGGGGGTCAGCTGAGCGCACGGATAATTGGTAAAGTTACTTGAATGCATTTCTAAGATTCAACTCCTGCTTTTAGTCTCACTTTAAATTTTGTGACTGCCCACATATTGACTCTGGTACTCCATTTAGGGTCAACAATGGACTGACAAGGTCAACACATCCGGGTTAAAAACAAATACATGGGAGAAAGGGCTGCACCACTGCTATTTGCTTCTTTCAATCAACGTTATTCTTCCATGAGTGATAGCACCCCAATGGACATAGACTCCTCCTCAAACTCATTTCGCCTTATGTAGGGCTTAGTCTGGGTTAGAGGATGTATGCTACTACCTTTTTGGTCACTAAGTATAACTACCTGAAGTGTTTTCTTTGTTCCAGGTTTCATAAATCAACCAAAACTACAAAAACTTGGTTTACTTGACGGTGCTGGAATCCACACCAAAACCGAATGGGGCACCTGTTATTTTATAGCAGTCATTATGTCAACTGACAAAACACATCAGCAGCTCTATTTTATTGATACACTATCTTTTATCTAATAATCACCATAAATGTGGCCCCTTAATACTGTATATCATCTAGCAATACTGTTTCCAAATGCTGCATAGAATATCAACCCACAGAACACATTTGATACCTAAACCCCTCTAAGCCTTCAGCAATATCCTTGTTTAAGTAATCTTTTGGATGTTCTCCAGATTTTGGCACGATTGATATTTATGTTGAACAAAAGCCTGTTTATGTAACACTTTTCACATTTCTAATGGATAATGCTTCTGAATCCATAACTATTAATTATATGCTATTTCATACTAGAGCAATTTCAAAGGGAGATTTAATCTGTGCTCCAATGAATAAACCACAGATTAAATTGAAATGACTTCAAGATCTCTGCAACAGAATTAAAAACCACTAAGGACGAACATTCCATGGCCACAAAATACCATATTTCTTCTCTTCCGTGGTAAAACTTTTTTTTTTGTTTTGCATATTTAGCTCTAATGTTATCATAATGAATGCCGGGAAGCTGCATTAGCAGATCCGGTAGCACCCTACACAACTTGAGTTCCTACTGTTCATGTAAACATAAACTGAAAGTTCGCTTAAGCAAATCAATATATTTATTAAGAAACTTTATAACTATTCAAAAGTTAGGGACACTAGTTTTCAAGGTTACGGCTCCTTTCCCTTTGGGCTCTGCTGCTTAGCCTGAACATAAGTTTAACCTGCC